ACCCAGTAGTACTTTACCCGACCCGAATCGGAATCGAACCCGAGATCCCTTGCTCGGCAGTCGCACTTGCAACCACTCGGCCAACGAAGCAGTCAACTAAAATAGTATTGTACGTTTTCTTGGATAAAGTATCTGAAATGCCGCCCTTATATTTTTCAGGATACATTGGGCATATAGCGAGCAGGCATAGCGAATTATTATCAGATAGTAGTCCAGTATTAACGAACACGCAAGCAATACAAGCCACGGAGAATACGTTACAGGAAATTAAAGAAGAAGCCGATCCTGAGTCCATGATCCCTAAGACCAGCGTGCCAAATTATCAGACATCCGTCGTCAAACACACGGCGAAGGCTACAGAGACGAAGAAAACCTATCGTAGTAAAGGTAAGCGACTGATATATTGCAAGTAGGTACCAAAGCTCTACACTGTAGGCATTAACTCAGTCTAACTAGGCTGAATACGTTACCCTAGTTCGATTGAGCGAATCAAACATTGTTTTATACAAGTACAAAAAAACATTGTAGCGATAAAAGTTAAGTGATATAGACTTATAACAGATTAAAGTTTCAATTGCATAGATCTTATATTTACCCTCTTTTCTCTTACATTGCCACACGTTGATTTCACAAATCTTATTGCCACACGTCTGAAAATTGATAGGGAGGGGTCCATGTTATAAAAAATAATAAGATGCGTACCTACCTATTTCAAGATAATGTATTTTGCTACAACTACTACACACTACTTTGGAAACTGTGTGCTACCTACTACGTGCTACATGCTACGTGCTACGAACTATGCCCTATGAACTTCGCGCTACGAGCTACCTACAGCAGTAGTATTTTCCCGCATAAATGTAAAATTAGAGCAATAAGTTCTGTTTAGGATTGTGCATGTAGGATTAGAGATTTGACTATGTTTTGAATAATGTAATCTCGTCTTGGGAATATTTTAAATGGAAGCGGTTTTGTTTGATATATTATATTTCTCACTAACGATAGCGGGACCCTACCTTCGCCCGTGTGGTATTTTTCCAAGAATACGTGTATATTTCTTAGATGAAGTTTGTTCTAAAAATAAAAAAGCACTAACTACAAAAAATAATTATCCCTATCAATTTAAAATTAGGGAGTTACAAATACAAGAGTGTGCATTTAGGTGAATAATTACTATAGGCGGATTGGTTATTCAATGCAAATAGAATTACAATATGATATTTTGTGTTTCAGAGCAATTAGTGAATCAAGCAGACTGGGAGGAAAAACGATCTCGTGAAGAGAAATTAGTGGCAGACATAATTGACAGAGTCCGTCGCGAATGTGAGGCCCACCCGACGCCGCAAGCATCGACACGTCGTCCGTACGCGCGTCGCACGACGCCCGTCATACACACGCTGCGACAAACCAACGCACTCACGTAAGCACGACACACAAGAAGTTCCTCTAGAATATACTTAATATTAAGACAAAATGTCTGTTAACAACGTATGGGTTTTTTAATTGTGTGAAAATGCTGTTCAGCTATGGCAGTGTGAATATGGCTCGTGATTGCAATATTTTACTAACAGATTTCAGTGACAAAAATCACATCACAATAATAATGCACTGATAGAACGCTTCAGATAGACAACTCTTAACCATGCTAAAGCTTTTAATCGAAAAGACCCATATATAGGGACTGCAAAAAATACCGACCCTCAAAATATTTATTAAGTATCGAAATGGTATCAAATAAGAATAACTATTCATATAATAGTTATGGTTTAATTAATAAATATGCAGGAACATAATACACCACGATCAGAACTGGTAAAATAATTATGGGGAAGCCCACGTACTGAATAACACATAGAAGTTATTATCGTATAAGTAAGACACATGATACAATATGCTTAGATATTGTTTTTGAAACTAATACATACCAAATTATATACCTATTTTGTAAGATGGCCAGTAGAAGTCCACAATTTTATCAGCAAAGTATATATCAATAATTCAATTAACTAAAATTGTTGGGCTTTCATCGAAACGAGGTCAATACAGAATTATGAATTTGTACACATGATGAAGTTTTGTAATTCAATCAAACTATTCTGACGACTGATTGAAATGTTACCTGTATTTAAGCATTAAGGTACCGTTACATATTCTAATTTCAAGTATGAAACCATGCTTCAATTGAGCTCTTGTCACTTATAGCATGTGTGTCGAAAAAAAACATAACTTCACGCCTTTTATCCCCGCAGGGGTAGGCAGAGGTGCACATTACGGCACTTAATGCCACTGTACAATGTAACACCCACTTTTCACTATTTATGTTATGAGTTCCATGTAATAGGCGGTGAGCCTATTGCAATATACCGGGCACAATTTCAAACTCCGTGCTACTACTGAGATTTACCTATTAAAAAAATCCAGATATACTTTGCCCGACCCGGGAATCAAACCCGAGACCGCTTGTCCGGCAGTCGCACTTACGACCACTCGTCTAACGAGGCAGTGTGTGTCGGAATGTGCTCAAAATTAGTATGCTCATTTCAGGCATATATGCGAATCGACAGGGGTTCGATTATTGAACATTTTTGAGCATGCTCGATAGAACGCATTTACCATACCAATGACTGTTTTAGAGCATGTGTATCAGTACCGTGACTTTAGCGTGTATTTTAGTATTTTATTTGAGGTTCGGCCTAACATTAACGTTGCATTGCGTATACTACATACTATGTAATAATGTGCCAATAAGGCAGTTGAAGCATCTCTCAAGTATTTTTGTGCCAAGTGATTGTAAATAGTAAGTTGTAAGCACTGTGCCAATCGTTAAGGTAATACCTTATATAAATACGCCAATAATTTTCCAGATCCTGTAAATACTTATTATATAAACTTAAATATACAATCAGTGACTACTCCATATTTAATAATTAATTTTTATGAAGTCTTTGCATTAATAAAATTAGGGTTAAAAAGTATCATATAGGAATTTTCATTAAGTATGTTCCTACTAGATAGTCGTCGTCGTTCCATTGAAGAAATCATATCACGCAACGCAAGTGCGAAATTTGAATCAATATTGAAATTATACGTGTTCTTCATATCTATCGACCTAACTTGGTCAATTTCAATTAGAAATATATAGGTACTTTCATGCTTATTTGGTCAAATAATGTCTGAACCATAGTGGTGTCTATGCTTCTCATGTGCCGAGTGCAATAAATATGTACCCTGGCGCCCTCTAGTATGTAACAATAGCTATAAAATTCGTGCGCAATGATGATTTATACGACTAAAACTTTCTGCTTCTTGGAAGCTTCTTTAAGAGCTCCGAATGCCTCTATTGCAAGATATAACTCCTCCGGACAAACTGATTTTCATAATTGAGTTCATTAAAAAAATGTACTTACAAATCCACGTAAACACGTCCTAATTATAGTTAGTCTTAACCGAATACATCATTAACCAGAGACGGTCTAGGTCCTGCTGGATTATGGACCTCCACTTCATATTAAGCGGGTTTACCATAATAACCAAATATTGAATATAATTAGTTATCATCACACTTGTATACTCACTGTATTTTAAAAACTAAGTCTGCCATTATACTTAGCTGTTAAGCATTAGATATTCTCGTGAAACATTTACATACTTTAGTCATTTTAAAGCTACGTTTCCAATTGTTGTGTCTCGCATCATTTAGGTACAAACTAAGTATTTACTGCTGTTGCTACTTACCTCTATTTGCAAAACAAATGTGCTGACTGCAGTTATTAAGTAGGCAGGTACAGAAACAGTACTTAACTATTAATTGGCTGCAGAGTCGACCAATGGTTCCAAAAGATACCTGCATACTTACGTCACATTTATTAATATTTTCCTTCTATCATCTAGGCAGCATTTTACATACCTACTGCAACTAATTCTGTCCCTTATATTCGTCTACGTTCAATAAATTAACGGCTGTAATGATATAGGAACGAAATGTGAGACTGAAAGTAAGAATAAAAAGTTAGATTCTCCTGAAATGCCTACGTTACTAGCAATTGTAACAACGTAATGTAATTGATCAGCAATATGTACGTATACAGGGTGTGCACTTGGAAAAATACACGATGCAACGAATCTAACCTCGCCTCATAGGTAGTACCTACCACCTCACGCGAATGAAGTTGAACTTTATCACACGATTTTATTATTACAAATTATGTAATAAAATCTATGAATATTTATGAATTTCATACACTTGTAATTGGTGTGTCATCATGAAAACAGACATCGTTATTGCGTACGAAAATTCTGGGTCGTGTATTTTTTCAACAACCCCTAAAAATTTTTAAATAAAATTTTTAACTATATTACTTTTTAATATTATTGTATGTACTATATTTATTGAAGAAGGCTAGCTTTTAGTAAGTGTCTACCTATTTGACTCTTCTTTAAGTTTTGTGTAAAATGGCTAAAACGCATTTGTCTTGACATAAAAATCGATAAAAAAAGCAAAATCCTGTATCAGGGTTGAGATTTCTGTTAGTTCAGAATTTAATATAATTTTAGGAATGTGTACCTTTTTAATTGTGTAACGAACTGCTTCATGTTTTTGTTTCATTATATATAAGTAAATAATTGTTGTAAGTATTAAAATTTACTTCCATATTGTGTCAAACATGTAAATATTACTATTTTATCTTATATATACAAAAACTGTGATGAATGTGGCTCAGAAATATACGTATTAAGTGACATAAATACGAGTTCGTTATTTATTATTTGTAAACCATTTGATCATTGGAAGATACTCTCGTGGCTGTGGTTCTTTACTACCTACTACCTACTTTAAATTGACGGTTATTGTTTGGCGTTTCATTATACACAATACACATACCTACTTATTTACCCAAATACGGTACCAAATAAATCTAAGGGAAGGAAAGCTTAAATGATACCAGGCTGTATAAAAATCTTGTAATATCTCGAAAACTAGATATTCCTGCAAAAACATAACGAAAATTACACAACCTTTAAGATTTTCAGCAGCGAGAAAAGACAATTGGGTATAGCAACAGTCTCACTGTTCAGTCATCTTATCTATCAATCAATCAATCAGTCGGACTGTTCGATGTGGGTTTGAGATTTTATAAATAGGCCCAATCCAGCCCAATGTCACTCCTACCTCCATACCTCAATCGTTTTTACTTTACATAATCAATTCATTTGCAAGTGAAGCGTGAATTTTCTCCAAAGTTGACGCCCATAGCACAACACTAGTTTTTTTCTTGAATGGCAACCGAGGAACACTGTATTCGCAGATAATGACACTGACAACCGACAACATTGACATTTAATCATTACAAAGATATGACACTGACAAGTGACAACTTTGAAAATCGGAAGGGCATTGTTTGTAAAGGTGATGTGCTTTGTCTATATAACAATATTATTATCCTCTTAGATAAATTTATAATTATTTCACAGTTGAAAAATTAAATTTTAAGTTGAATGTATTAGTCAAGACGGCCATGCCTCAGATATTTCAAGTTTTGAGATGCTACAAATGTTTCGTCTTTCAGGTATAGTTGATTCGGTTTACATTCATCTTATTGCCTTAAATGTTTCAGTCTGATTGAATAATTTTGTTTATATTAAACTGTAGGTTCACCAAACCAAAAAGTCAAATAAATGGGAATGTAAACTCTGTGGCGAGAAACAATCTATAAAAAGGCATTATGGTATAGGAGCTGCTAAAGACTGTAGATTACATGTTCAAAAACTAAATACAATGAGAGGAGACATAGATAATAAGAAAACCACAGAAGATATAGACAGTGAGGATGAAGATGTATCTGAGCCCAGGCATCTTATATGCAGTCCTGTAGCACAAAGTAAATGCAAGCCTGCAAGCACAATTAGTAAATGGTCTAACTTTTTAGATGACCCTGAAATCGTTGAAGAACCTGCTATTGATAATATGAAACTAGGAGACGCTGAGGTGGTTTTTGAAATTCCCAAAAAGCAAAGGAAAGCAGTAAAAAGACAATTTAATAACAGTAATCATAAAGATTATGAGAATCATAAAGACCTAGGTCCACCCAAAGCCATACCATTCTCTAACACCAGTACTAAATTAAACTCATTGCCACTAACTTCTAATTCAGAAAATTTCATATCTCAAATAGATTCTACAAGTAACACTAAGCCTAATGCAAAGAGGAAGTTTATTCCACCTACAGTTAATATAAATTCGAAATGGGCTCAATTTACCGAAGAGACCGAGGAATGTGCAAACACAGAATGTACAAATACTTCACAGAGTTTGGGTATGTCACAAAACAATGCTATGTTCTCGTTATATGATGATACTGATCTTGACAACTTACTGAACATTTAAGAATTTATCATCATTAATTTAAAATAGAAGTTTTAGTAATAAAGGACATTGATTTTCCAATAATTTTATTATTACAACCAATACACATTATCATCACAATGGCAACAGTTTAATATCACTTTCATTAATGTCTACTAGATAAATAGCGAGTACTACAGGCATACTTTTACATTGTAACATCTACAACAAACTTCAATGATAAGATCCCACAGACCGAGATCACCCCATACACAAATTCATCAAATATCTTGCTAATCTCACAAGGAAACAGTACCATCACAAATATGCAATACTCATGGTATGGTCACTGCTTGAAGCTAAGTTTAACAATAATATTACATTGATATTAATATATAATTGCTGAATATAGGTTTAAAGCTAAATGTACACAGACTCTTAGAAAGACAGACCTATTAAGTTTATTGTACAATGACTTGCAATATGTCACTCTTATTGCTAGATTTGTTCGTAGTATTTACGTTAAGGTTTGTAAATACAATATTGTGGTCTTATTGTAAAACATTTGTATGTAGTGAATTTTTTCAGAAATTTTTAATATTTTGAGAATATTGTGGCTAAATTTCGAATAAAAGTATTCTTACCAATAATGTTTGAGACATAATACAGCCACATCCCTAATACAGTTAGAATACATAGTTTTAGGAAGCCCTACTGCTTTTCGATGTGAATGAATATCCTAGAATAAATATATACTTAGTGTATTATGTATAGTCACTTATAAAAGAAATCAGACTGTTTAATGTTTACATTTTGTGAGATGAATGTGTGTTTAGATAAATAATCTCCGTAACTTCTATGTTGCTTATATTACGATATTTTTCAAAATATTGATAGCTTTATTCACAGAAGAAAACTCGGAAAAGTCGTATAGACAACCTACTGTTTCCGCCCTTAAAATAATATCAAACTATCTTTATTGCTCCCGCCCCGTGCTGCCTGCCAAAGTTCTCTTTAGAAAAAAGCAGCTCATGTCTGCTCTTTGCAATATTTTCCAAAGAATATATTAGTAGTAGACTAGTATGGCGCCATGTGCCTGCGTCTGTGCAGTTCTCTCGCTCGCGCATATCTTCGGCCGTAGGTCCATCGCCAAGCCCTACGCAAAACAAGAGTTAATGTTTATAAACATTTGTGGAAGCAGTATTAGGTACCTAAATAAAGGACTAAGCTTATGGCTTAGTATCGTACCTTTCATTATATCCGACAGTATCCCCTCTGTACAAGTGGTCTTCGAATCGATCGTCAAATCGCCTGTTGACGGTCTCTTCGCTGCTCCCTGAAATTAGTGCTAGACTTTAACATCGCCATTTCATAGGATTTTAAAATGCATAATTGTTAATTCATGTAAAGTGACTTTACCATTGGGGTTTGAATGAGAGAATCGCCGACATGACGGGCCTCTGCAACTCAGAAGTTGTTGCAACTGGTTGTGGAAATAGTCTTTCTCAGCTTGTGTCAGGTATTTTACTCGGTTTTGGGTTTCAAAAGGATCTGAAATGATATCCATTCAAAGTTAGAACATTATTTCGATATAGGTACTTAAGTACTTTTCTAGAAAGAACGTAATATAACGTTAAAATATATATTATCACGGTTTCTTACCAATTCTCAAGTTGTAGTAGGTGACTAGACCAGTGATAAACTCGCAGTAGAGCAAGTTATGTGTGGCGTTGATGGTCCTGACGCAGTTGTAAGTATTGTTGGAGGTGCTCATACAGAAACAGAAGGGACCCGCTGTCCAGAATGGTGCCGTCCGCCAGTGGTCGTTATCATGTCGGTAACAATTCATACGTTCAGACTCGCAGAGTTTCTCTAATTCTGCCTACAAAATAGAAAGGTGCAAATGAGTAATAAGTTAGAATTTGTTAGAAAATACTAGGGCCTTCCATAGGGTGAGATCCATGTCCTTCCATCCCATGAGACAAAAGAACTTACCCTCTTTCTTGCTTTTCTAAGTTTCTTTTGCAACAGCTGTGCTTTTCTCTTTCTTTGTTCCTCTCTCGTCTTCTGTGCTGCTTCCAGGTAGCTATGACCAGGACCTCTCATTTTTCTATAAAAACAAAAATATAAGTAAATACATTCTGAGAAAATAATTATCATCAAAATAAATAAAGTTACAACACTTACCTATTTTCTTCACAGTAACACACATGTTTGTCCTCATTTTCAATAAAGAGTGGATGAAGTCTTCTTTGAAACACGTCGACAGGCTTATCGAATATTCCCATATTCTTAGACGTGGCTTTATTGGGATTCCTCTGCTCATATTCAGAAGCATCCAGCCGTGCCGGACCAAGACTTAATGGCGCAAGTGTTGTATGCCTCGGTGTCGTGGTAGACGGTCTCCGTGTGGTGGTTGTTTCACTGACTGCTGGTTTACTTGTTGTACTTGTAGGACCACGTGTCGAACCCTCTGTTGATAAAATTTTATCAATAGCAGCACTGAAATGGTTCGCGTTCTGTGCAAAATATGCTTCCTCTGTAGAATTATCTTCAGTAGTAGTACGTTTTGTGGTGATATCGAAATGCATTGCAAAATCAGTTGTAATTATAGAATCAGTGCTAGTGCTAGTTATGACACTTTGCAGAGTACTTCTGTCTTCCACACTGTTGTCTTCATAGTTTCCTTCTATGATTACAGTAGTGACTTGGGGTTTTGGTATTTCAATTTTTTCTTCAGTAATATTTGCAAGTGCATTTACTTCATTGCTGACATTTGCAGTTTGTGTTGTAAAAGGAGCTTCAGTTTTTGTCTCATTCTTAACTTGATAATCAAACACATCATCTTTGGTTTTAGCATTTATTGTAGGCACTACGTATTCATTGGAGTGCCTTAACTTCTTCTCCTGGGCAGTATTATTTCTGTGTTTTGGTTTCACTCTGTGAAGTCTAGCCTTTCTGAAGTGCTCTTTTGAAGTATTGTGTTCGTGAGTAAAGTTCTTATTGAACAAGTGATTGTTAAAGACAGTGGGATGAACAGTTTGTGTTTCAATTGCCGGTTTGGCTGTTTTTAAATGTCTCTTGATTTCTTTTAAATCTTCTAATTTGGTCCTTAACTGTCTTATTTGATCTTCTAAGCTTAGTCGATTTGTATGCCAAGCTTTAAGATCGTTGTAAATAATTTGTGAGCAATTCACTGTTCCATCTTTTTCTATCTTACATTCTAAGGAAGACTCATTGCTGTTAACTATCGCGTCATTCTTCTTATGTTTATTGTGATTCCAGTGTTGAGCCCTACGTTTTATTCTTTTATGATCTATGTTTTCTTTGGTACGTTCATAAGCCTCAAGGAAAGCTTCAGTTTCCTTAATAAGTTTATCAATCTTGTCCTTTGTATTTCTGCTTTCTAGTTCATCAATCGGTTCATTCTTGAAATTCAAGTGCCCTATACTTGGATTTTCTTTAAGAATGCTATCAACCGTGTTAGGTTCATAAACCTCATTATCTATAGACCTTCTACTGCGAGTACTGTTATCTTTTGTGACTTCAGCGAGTCGCCGTGCTATAGTACCATCAGTTTCGAGTCTTGTATACACAAGTCCACTGGGTGTGAAGCAAGCACATTTCTTTGTACTCATCTTTGATTGCGGCAAAGTCGTTTCACTCTGAAAAACAAATTAATTCATAAAATAAATAAAAGTCATAATTAAACCCAAATAATAATTAGTTATTTTAATGCAACAAATTATACGAACTTCGTATCTACATTTGTGTCGCCGCCATCTTCCGTTTATTAGAACACATTTCCATTTCCTGCCCGCGGAACAAGGAGCACGTAACTCAGCCTTTGAACAATCAGCAGCAATTCGAGCTGCTTTACCTTCCAAACCGCTGGCATCTGCTACTTCTAAAAATGACAAACTTTGGTAGATATTTGAATGAGACACTTAACAATAATGTTACCTAATTTAAGATTGCTTTGTCGTTATTATGACTCAACAGAAGAAAGCATAGAAAATAATTAAAAGAGGACTTTATATCCTTGTCCTTACGATCGAACAGCTTGTTGACCGGTGTGAGGTAGTTAGGTTGCTCTTCAGCATCGAGAACCTTCTCAAGGCTGGCTTCTAGCAGTGGGTTATGACTCTCGTTTGTTATCAGCGGTTCCGATGACTTCTTTAGTGAATCGATCGAGTCACTTTCAGAGCTTTCCTGGGAACAATTAGATAAGGTTAGTGTAAGTAGAATAGGCAAATTGTTTATAAAAAGATTGCTTGATCTAAGTTGTCCTCACATCATCATCGTCGTCATCGGGCTCCAGGAAGTCGTCATCATCCGTGTCCTCGTCGAAGTCTCCGCTCTCTAAGGACTGAGGAGGTGATGTAGTGGCTCGATTCTCATTCATCTCCCGACTGTACTTGTTCTCTCGGGAGCGGTGCCCTAGACCGGGAATATCCCGTCGACCTGAACTGAAGACAAAAAATGTGGCTTTATAGATTTTGCCTTATCAATACTTTTAAAGTGAATAGGTAACTACTTTTATTTTTTATTTTATTACCTTTCCACTAAGAACGTATCAGGCCAGTGCGCTGTTGCGTGGCGGCGACGACGCGGTTGCAATAGCGGCAGGAGTGATCTTCCATCCATATGCGCTGGAGGTTCCACTCCACCCATATCCAAAAATGTTGGCGCCAAATCGATGTTGAGAACTATATCATCCACGCTGCAGAGACAAATAAATGCGTTGAAAATATGTTCTCGTGTCGGTAAATATTTAGATATAACTATAACACAGGGTAATATGTCGATAATATAATATTTTTTTTTTTTTTAATAAATCGTTGGTCCACACTAGGATATTCTCCTGTGTCGTGGGTGCGTTTACAAACATACAAGTTCACATACACATGACACCCAGACCCGGAACAACAATTTGTGGATCACACAAAGTGTTGTTCCGTGCGGGAATCGAACCCGCGACACGTTGCACGGCAGCCGGTTGCCCAGCCACCGCACCAACCGTGCAGTCCTTGAATTTAAAAGATGAATAATAAT